ACCCTTCCCCCTTATTTAATCCCGCTTCCACCTGCACTTTACAAAAAACTGTGAAGAAAGTGAAAAAAGTAGGTAGGATTTTTAAGCCTGTTTTTCTAATTGCCGACAACAGCGGCCGTAATGAAATATGATCACCCTTGTCAAGTGTCAGACCTCGAGTCCAAGGCAAGACCGAGTCCAAACTCCTTAAAGACCGAGACAAGACCGAGACCAAATGTGTTTGAGGCCAGTCTCAAGACCAAGACCGATCTTGAGTTCTACAACACTATTATTTATATCGTTCTTTTCTACATGCTCAAAGTTGCTGCACAAAGGATACAATTAAAAAAGTGTACATTTAATTAAAAAAAAAAAAAAAAAAAGGTAAGTCAGATAAAACATAGGAATAATTATTAATTATTCTCCTGTGGTGTGTGCAAATTTCTTTCTGTCATCAGTGATTAATAAATAGTATAGTTTTGTTTTTTTTGTTTTTTATGTCATGTTTATTACTATATGATATAATGCAACTCACAGTGAAAGTATTCAGTATTCAGAGTACAGTTTTAGTTGATTCGATTGGACCATGTAACAATACAATATGTTACAAATACATTTCAAAGTATTCAGTATTTCATAACTAAAGACTTTTTTATAATTAATGTTGTACTTACCATGCTGTATGCAAACTGACCCACACGTATCTCATCCATCCTGTCTATATAAAGACTCAATAAATAAGTCTAAATAAATAAAATAAGCAAAAGAAATATCAATGTAATTCCAAATGTGGATGATGTATAATTCAAAATTGTTTATTTACATATAAAGTTGTCAGTATAATTTAAGTTAAAAAAAATAATAAAATGTAAATCCTGTTACAATTAATTACTATTTGTAATGTCACTGCTATGCTGCTTTTTATTTGCATTTTAGAACTTAAATTCAAATTTCTACAACCACAAACTGCATTTCTGCTTGCTCATGTTACTAAAAATAAAATAAATATACACAATGACTTGCATATTTCAAAGTTTAATCTTGTGTAAGAGAGAGTAGTATATCTGCCATCAAAGACACTTGTTAATCATCTTAAGTACAATATGCAGTACTTCATTCTAATGCGTCTTTTCCCATCAGGCTGCATCGTTCTTTTTTATACAACATCTAACATCTAAAATAAAGTGAAACAAGGTCAGCTCCCTAGAGAAGCTGTGGAAACAATGGAAAAGTACAACTTCTCACCTTTCTGACAAAGTGACTCCCGAGGTGAACTTTTGAGTCTGTTTGCATTTCCATGACTCAGCGTAGTGTTTCAGTCAATAATATGTAACAGGAGTAATGCACTGTGGTATTGATATGGATTATTGGAGCAGGGTCAGTGATATGTGTAGACTTTTGACCGTACTGAAACTCCCATCGATTTATACAGTCACTCACCCTTTTGGTCTGTGAAGAAAGTGACTGGCGGGATTGCATTTCGTTTCAGCTGGGCCGCTAGCTAAAACAAAACAAAACAAAACAAAAAAGAAGAATGAAAGATAAATACTGTGGAACTTTCCAGGCAAAGCATTCTGGACCACCAAGTTACAAACTGCATCTAAAACATAATATATCACCACTATTTTAGCATCAATATACCAACATTTAGGAAATCAAACTATTAAATGAGTTAAGTTATGCCTGACATGAAAGCCTGAGGTTTGCTTCTAAAGTTCTCACAAATTCTCACATGTTGTTGTATTTTAATTTCTTACAAATATAGTAGGAGTGTGGGTGTGACATAAAGCACAGACACTACAGTGTGGAATGATCCTTGTGTCTCTCAAACACGGACACTTAGAATAAAATATATTGGACTTCTTTTACCTCAGATACATGAGTTTGGTGTTTTGCCTATCAATATTTCACATATCTGGTCTGTGTGTCAGATGTGTTGTGTGTTGTTTTTCTGGTTTATTTATGGATATAGTTCAAGGCCATGCGTGTTGTAAAAATATGTGCTTCTTCTTTAAACAGGCAACCCCATAATACCTTATACTGATATTAGGGGTGTGCAAAAATATCGAAATATTGATATATCATATTGTTTAATGTGATACAATATCGATATCGTGGGCAGCTGTATTGATATATATCACCAAGAGTATTTTTTACTATATTATTTTGTTACAGCACTACAGTTTTGTTGCTTGTTCAGAGAAAGGAAACTTGTTTGTGCAAAACATTTGACATTTTCACTGTTTTGATGAGTAAAATGTATGAACTTTGCACAAGAAGTGGTTTAACAAAGACTTTTAGTATCACAGACATGATTTGGCCTTTATTTTTTATTGAACCGAGTCAAATTGATTTTAAATATATCTTATCCAACCGAAAGCTCACTGTATGTCTATGTATCGTATTATGGCCTATGTATCTATGTATATATCGTATCAGCAACTTCTTATTAATACCCAGCCCTAACAAATTTTATTTATTTATTTTTTCAAATGATAAACTTGCACTCTGTCAGTAATGTTCCACAGTATGACATTAAACAGCTCTACCTTACATTTATTAAATTAGAGGTAGTTTTATAGCTCAAAAATACCTAGAAAAACAGGCATTCTGGTTGTGAGCGAGGTTGCCCCTCCACAGATCTTACCTGTAAATGGGTCAGGTTTGGTCTCCATGAAGATAGATCAGTTTAATACTAAACTGTGAAACACTCCAGTCAATGCAATAACATCTACATGGAGAAAAGCATTTGACAGACCCTCCACCAGAAAAATGACACAGTGCACTTTTACACGTGGATTGCTGTACTTCTGACATGCATTTCTCGTTTATTGTGTATATCGTTGAGGCTTTACAGTTATTGACGCTGGTCTGATTTAATGAACTGTAATGAGCCCAAACAGCCATTCCTCATAGATCGATCTGTTATATAAGAAGCCAACATGTAGGAACAGCACTGGCAGTCCACTCCACACAGCTTCAGAGAAATGAGTGAATAAAACATGACGAAGTTAAAAGGTTTGGTGGACTGGATGGTGGCGTCAGCAGCACTCGAACAACTGCTGATTTAGACTTTTCACACATCACAGGCACTCATATCACACTTCACTAACAACACATGGAGCAGAGCCGAGGTGGCCGCTGTACTGTTGAAGTGTGCTTTCTGTATAACTTTAAGGGTAGGCCTGCCACCATAATTACTATATCGAATTATCGTTCAGTATAAGAAAGATGGAATATATTTTGGGGCTCAGTATTTATTGTTGGTCATTTTTCTTTGCAATAGTGGAGATTTGGGGCATTTTATGTAATAAAATAAGATTTAAGCTGTAGAGCAGAGGTCTTCAACAGGGGTGTCACGAAATCTTTGGTTGATGAGACTTTTTTTTTTTAGATGAGAATGAACTAGTTTTCAGTGTGTTCTAGCTGTGCACTCCTTTCATCATCCCCTCGTCTCTCGCTCCCTGTCGGTCTGGATTTTATCGTTTCTTCTAGGCTACATGTGAAGAGTTCCGTTACAGCTTCACTTTTATGCACAGCAGGAACTTAAGCTCCACACGTACTTCTGCGCAATAGGAAGGGGCTAGACAACTTCATTCCCCGGCCCACATTAACCCGGCCCCGCACTACACAGCCAGCCTCCTTTCTACCTGCAGAGCGACCGGGAGGGGGAGGGGAGTCGTGTCTTTCCTCTCACCCTCCTCAGGTCAGAATGACCGGAAAAGTTCAGTGTCCAAACTCCAAACTTTTGTCTGTACATGCTGTGGGTCCTCTTTCGTTTATTATTAGAAACATCAAAAACATCACAATTTGAGCCCATTTTCCGTGATGTCATTGCTTCATTAATCTGGCCTTCTCAGAGTTACCAGGAGCTCACACAAAATGCAGCTTAAACTTCAGGCCTGAGTGGCTTTGGTCAGACTCAGGTTTATTTCTGTCATAGAATGAGTTGAGACTTAACCTGGAGATGGATAGTTTCATCTCATAATTTCAGGATAAGCCTGGACTTTGATGGCCCCCCCCCAGTACTGAATGTACAATAACAGTGTGTAGCTATGTTTATACAAGACACTGGGCAATTGTATGCCATATATATATATATATATATATATATATATATATATATATATATATATATATATATTATATATATATATATATATATATATATATATATATATATATATATATATATATTATATATATATATATATATATATATATATATATATATATATATATATATATATATATAGTAGGGTTGTCCCTGCTCCACCTCTCCATCAGTTAAGGGGTCCCTGGCCTGAAAAACATTGAAGACTCCTGCTGTAGAGAGTAGAATAAATAACTTCTATGGCTAATTATCTCAGGCCTTTTAATGATACTGTATATTTAAAAAAAAAAATTATTGGGATTATCCTGCTTTGTGACATCATTAAAAACAGTATATCTCTATCGCAAGATATTGTGCTTCAAATTGTGTTATCATGACAGGTCTATTCATGGGCAATTTATGGAAGAATTATCAAAATTTCTAACTCAGGTATATCAAATTTGCTGATAGAAAACATATTGAACAGGAGATTTTACAGTATTGTGATGTTACATGGACCCAATCTATAGCCTGTATTTCTCTTTATAAGCTTAAAACATCCACAACAAACATACATACAGGTAGGCAGGTATACAGACAGGTATACAGCTCTTCGTTGAAAACCTTGTAGCTTCCAGTCATTGCAGATGCCAGATTGACTTAATAGAAACAATCAAATACAGAAGAAGTTTATTTTTCCATAATTAAGTGTTCTGCTCCTTAGTCACACAATAGACCACATTACAAACTAAACTGGGGAATACAGAAAAAAAATACAATGACAAATGCTTAGTTTCCACTGATCTGCATATTCTCCGGTAAAAATCACAGTTGCATTTTGATTTACATGACCAAATATTCTTGTTTTAAAGCCAACTTGTTTTCTTCAATTTTACGTGGAAAGTAAAAATGTATTTGTGTGTTTCAGAGGGAGAGGCTGCGGAACATTGAGAGGATCTGCAACCTGCTGCGAAAGGTAAGAACGGCTTTGACTTCATCTTGAGCACAGAACATGGAGCTATTGGTTTTAATAGACTTATGACAGAGTGATTAGCATTTATAACACAGCAGGGGGTTTAGTGGTGTCTTATTTTTATATTCCTCCTAATGCCAGTCACAGTAATTCCTATACTGACCTATTGTTCAATATATGATAGCTAAAACAATATATAATGGAGCTCAGTATTTATCTTCATATTTTTGCTGCTCTTTTTTATGTAATATGGTAAGATTTGAGCTGTAGAGGGTTGAAAAAGTCACTTCCAGGACTAGTAAGTTTTTTTCTGCTGTTTATTTGTTGGAGCTCAGGCTTTTTAATGAGCCTGTATATTAAAAAATTGTTTACTGAGATTGATTGTGATATTTCTCTGTTGTGTTATCGTGACAGGTTTGGTTTCTAGTCCAAGTTTGTTTCTGGGCATGGAAACTTATTTTGCCCTTTTTGTATACTTTTCCTGGTCAAAGCCTACAGAGATGTGAAAAATGTGACAGAGATCAGATTACTTACATTAGATATGTGACTGTTTACATTACATTTCAATAATCTGATAACTACAGAAATCAGATAATGCATGCAGACAGCGAGAGAAGACAGATTTAGGAAGGTTCCTGGTTGAATTTATGGCTCACCTTTACCTCACCTTGTAGCATGAATATTTTAGACATTTCTCACCACTCATCTGACCCTACCAGAACAAAGGAAAAAGTATAATGTGCTAGTAACAAACTGACATAGACTGAGATAAACCTTACTGATCCACAATGGAAATTACATAAATTATATTAAATTATATACTTATAATTATGTACATTTTATTAGATACATTAATTTTAAAAACTGTGTGGGCTGGTTTCGTATAAGGCATAATTATTGTATATGTACAAGAAAAATGAAAAAATAAAGATATAGTTTTGTCATAAAGAGAAACAGTGCAAAGATTAAAGGTGCACTGTGTTTTGTTTGGGGTTCCATCACTTGCTTGTTTCTGTAGATATGTCATTGCACTGCCTGGAATGTTCCACTATGTTAAACAGTTTGTTTAACAGTGTGTAACAGGTGTTTTATAGCTCAAAAATACCTAGAAAAACAGGCATTTGGACGTTTAGCTGAATTCCCTCTCTACAGATCTGAACTGTAACTTGGTCTGATTTGGTGTTACAATCCAGCTTGTTGGGGCCAGGGAAGTAAGAAAAAAACTAGGTGGAAAAATTGAATAAATTAAATAATGTTTAATTAACAGGAATGTAAAGGTAAATTAACAACACAGACTAAAATATACAGAACATACCCTAAACTAAGAAACAAAACAACAGAATTAACAGAACGAGTTTTGTGCGACAAAACGGGTCACGCAGGCTTACACAATAACAAGTGGTTAATTAACTAAAGGGACACACACGAAACTAAAACACAAGTTCCCAAAGTAAAGCCCACAAACAGAATCGAGTGACCAAATGAAAAAAGGCACAAAACAGAACTAAACTATACAACTTGACACACACAAACACAAACACAACAGGCGCTGGCAATCTCCTTAAATAGGGGGAGGAGTCTGGAGGTGAGGCAGGATTGGCCAGGTGTAAAGGTATTCCACCAATCACGAACAAGGGCTCCCACAGCAGGATCCAGGACAGCCAGCAAAATAATTTAGAGCACACAAAACAAATTACAATTGAACACAACATAACATTAACAACAACATAACATTTGGTCTCCATGATGATAGAAAGGTTTAATACCATACTGTGAAACATTCCAGACAAAGCAATAACATCTCCACAGAGAAAAGCATTTGACGGACCCTACACCTGAAAAGTTACACAGTAAACCTTTAAATGGTGATTGAAAAATCGTGCACTGTTTTTGCACAAACTCCCATGCAGGTGTAGTCTTGTGAGTACAGTTTGGATCAGATACATAGATATACTTAATAGTTTTGAGAGCTTTTGCCACATTATACACTAATCGATTTTCAGAACACGTCTTTAATCGACTACAAATTCCTTTAGTTGACTGCAGCCCTAGCGTACTGTATCCTCCCAGCTGCTGTCACCGTAAACTGTGTAGCATCTGTTTCTGATACTCGGCTGATCATATGCTACTGGGGCCCTCAGGTCATGCACGGGCCCCTGGGAACTTACTGTCCTCTCCCACACCACACTGAAACTACAGTACATCATCGACCATAACAACCCTGTGCAGCTAAGTGTTCTCAACAAACATCCAATTCAAGCCTTAATTGTCCCATACAGTCAATATTTGTCAGGGACCAGCCTCAGTAATGCTCATGAAGTGACTAAATCAATACAGAATAATGGTGAGATGAAGTCCATTCCCCTCAGACTGCACCAGTGACACTTCTATTATGTTCCTGCTTTGGGCCAAAAGACAAACACTTTTTAAAACTCGTGAGTGTTTAAGCATAATATGTTCAGATATGTGTAAACTGTGTCACTACAAAATCACCAGAAATCCTTAGAAAGCCCATATTACTCTATTTTCTGATCTATGTTATAATGTTGTATTCTCATCACAAACATACGTGGAGTTGTGTTTTTGTTTCATTCACACATGATTTAACAAGGTGGAGCAGAGCATTTGGAGCTTTGGAGATGCAGATACACTGATAATTCAAGATTACTCAAACATGTCTGAGTGAAACAACACAACTCTAGGTATGTTTTTGAGGAGGTGACAACATTATAACACGGCTAAACACTCACAAGAGTCTATTTTGTGTAATACAGAACCAATGCTCAAAAACAGCATGTTTTAATGAGGGAACTTGTTTGGTGAGAAAACCGATTTGTTTTTACCGAGGAGTGATTTGCCAAAAACAGATTACAAAGATAAAGTGTAAAAGCATAATGCATATGTATTGTCATCCAGTAGATTTGTTTGGTGGATTTGATCACAGTAGAATAGGTGACACAATATTTTTACAGAATTAAAATAGACTGGCTTCTTAAACTGTGTTTTGCAAAGAATAAATTCAAGCCTTGGCCCTGTTAAAACTAAAGGTCACATCATATTGCGATTTTTAACAGTGGCAATTCACTGCTTCTTCTACAAAAAGTCTAAATGTTATGTGTATTCAGCCTTACACTGCCATGCATATATGTATCATAGATTGTATATGTATGGGATGCTCCAAACTCAATTTCGAGGTTCTTCTGTGACAATGACTAGAAGTTGAAATAAACAAACAAACAAAAATAAACAAACATATATAAAGGGAATGGGTGCTCTTCCACCTCCATCGACTCTGGCTCCAATTCACTTCAACTGAAAAACTATCACCTCTCTCTTTGTAACTGCTGCAGTGAGCCTCGTCATTTTGGTCTTAAAATCGTTGTGTTAACCTGCTCTACATCTGTTTACTAATTTCTATTCCTGATACGGAACTCTGCTCCAAATTAGCCCCTGTAACCATTAGTCTTGTGAGCTTCATTTGAGTGGAGATGAACACTCTGGGTCATGTCACACTCCCTTAGTCCACTTCTTTATACAGTCTATAGTGTGTGTGCATTCTGTAGCAACCTAGGACCCAGACTATGATCTTATACTACTTACTTACTGTTCTAAATATAGAATTATAGTTGTATAATGAAATGTGGAGCTTGATTGTATCATATCATATACTTATAATTGGCTTTCTTGCATTATTCTACTGTCTGTATATTCCAGACTTTAGCCTCTGGCATAATGCATAGTGTGGGCCATAAGCTTCTGTGTAATTATAATTCGTCTCCATATTGACATGCTCCTTTACAATGCAGTATGACATTTTGTGATACACATTTTGCATTTTAAATTGAGATAATGATGATCTAAATATATAACCCATTGCCGTGCTACAGTTCATATTCCACAGATATGGAGATGCAGGTCTACGTGTTGTTCATTAGATACGCTCTCAGGGCTTGGAGGATGAGCTGGCTCGTTGCCATGGGAGACGGGCAAACCTGAGCACTCATTAGTCCCTATTCTGTATTTTTGGGCCTGTCTCGAACTCCTCTTCCTCTGTCCCTGAGCTGTAATGAATGGAGGGTCAGGCCACATTCCTGCTATATTCAGCTCAGTGTCAATGTCAACTTCTCCAGTAATTTCTCCCAGCTTAAAAAATGCATGTTCTGATAATGATTTTTTTGACCTTTCTTCTTCCTTCTTAAGGTAAGGTTAAGGTACAGTTTATTTTCCCCCAGAGGAAACTTCTGCATTTGACCCATCCTTCAGTGTGGCTGGGGCAACCTGTCAGGAGCAGCGAGACGGGAGGCTTCTGCAAATCCTGAGCTTAGGCTTGGTCAAGGACTACCTTAGCTGGAAGATTTTATTGTGCATGTTTCGGATGATTTAAGATCCTAATAATAATAATAATTCATAACACTTGTATAATGCTTTTCACGACACAACAGATCAACAGATCAAGACAGATGAAACACAAATGCGAAACAAAAAACAAAAAAAAACTGATAAAAAACAAAATGCAGTTATCTTAAGGCAGTTTTGGCTCAGATTTCAAGTTTGGAAAATACACGTGGAATAAATAATAATACATTGTACATTAGTTTAGCCTTGGACCATTCCCTGTTGTCATTAATTGGGCTCAGTTTTATGATACTGGTGGGCTATACTTTTATTCAGGGACTGTTTATAACACCCCTAAGGCGCTGAGCAGTAAATAAATGGACTGACTTGCTAATCATCTTGCAAAATGTGATTAAAAGTGAACACGCAGCTTCTTTTAAGATAGAGCGATAGCATATGCGGACTGTAAACATATGATGCATGCATAAATCATTATGTATACATGTAAGTGAAATATATCAATCTCTTTCTTCCTTTGTGCAAGTGTTTTCAATGTGGTCAAGACAAGCAATTAGGGTAGCAACTGTGTGAACTGTCAGCACAAGGAATGTATAAAATTAATTAAAAAGTCTGATCTATGTTCTAATGTTGTTTCCTCATCACAAACA